TCGTGAAGACTGGCCTACTCACAGACATACCATTTTCAACCTACAGAGCTAGTTACCCAGTACATTCATGCTATACCTTGAAATCTTAATTTTGATTGGATTAATTGTAAGTAGATCAGTCAATAACTCAAATCAATAATTGATTTGCTCCTGAATAGAGGTTATGACCATTATTCACGTCTTACCTTTATTATTTTCCGAGAGAATAGCTTCATACGTTTATTTCTCATAGAAAAACACTGATATCGAGGAAGAGGCAGTTTTTTTTTGTTTTTAAATTTTAAAAATCGTTTTTAATCAATATTAACGTGCCGGTTTTAGGAGGTAACCGATGAAGATATCGATCACATCATCTCAGTTCATGGATGGGGTGTCGATCATGACAGTGGTGTAGAGTACTGGATTGGACGAAATTCATGGGGTACGCCATGGGGTGAACAGGGCTGGTTCCGCGTTGTTACATCTGCCTACAAGAATGCTGGAAGTAAATACAATTTGAAGGTAAGAATTATATTTATTTGTTAATACATATTTATTAAATGGGTAAATTTTGCCAAAAAGTCATCTAGCGTTGGTGAGAGAAAAAAATCCTCAGTCCAGTATATTATCGGAATGATTTCGTGAGCGATAGTGCGACCAGTAAGTAAGAACTCGTTGGAACACTTCCAACTCATGCTCGATTTGTTCTTATCAATAATATGAACGTATGAACTACTCCTGCCACTTTTGGCTAGTTGTCTGGCAAACTGTTGACCCTGTTGAATCTCGCTGAAGATGAATATGTGTAACGCGCCAACTACAGCACCGTGACATACACCAAAAACTTGTCAAAGTGTGAAATTGAAGAAATTCATGGAAATTAAAGACATTAGTGAAAATAAGAATTAAATTTGAAGTTGATGAATTTCAGATCGAAGAAGATTGCGTGTGGGCGGATCCTATTGTGTAATGAGAACTGATTTGATAATATTGTAAACTTATCTGTGAATAGTTGATTCATTTAGAATTTCAAAAAAAAAATAAAATTCTTGTGACTTTCAGTGTTGGCAACAATTAGAAGGAGAACCACCGAAAAGTTACGGTTTTCCTTCCATTGTTTGCCCTCTATGTACCTTTCTGCAGTGTATGGTATCGGTGGCTATCAGTTTGAAGTTTTACAAAGATCAAGAAAATGAAGAAATGAGAGGATATTGGCACTGAATGATATCCTTGAGAAAAAAAGCTGTACATTCGTCTCTCAAGGAGTAAAAATATGCTGTTCCGAAAAAGTACTACCACCACAAACCAGCAAATTCTGTTTCCTCATGAGAATCTCCTAGTTTATCCATCTAGTCCAGAGAAATTCAGTTCCTATCGTAACCAAGATTAAATCCAATCCATTCGCATAAAAATGTGCGTATGAACGAAGACCTATCCACTACTCTCGGTACATGGATAAAACTTTAAAAGATAGATTCTTCACTTCAGGGTCACAAAGTTCCCCGCTTCCTTTGAATATAGTGTTTGTAAAAAGCGTTTTCATATCAAATTGGGTAATTGAAGCCGAGCTCTCTATTGAAGATTCTTTTGGAAACAACTTTTTCTCCGACATTTTGATTGAATTTTACATTTTGAATGAGGATTTTGAGCTTTTTACAAGTAGTCATACATGTACGTTAATTCGGTACGCATGGATCGGGTACCGACTGATAGTCGGGCAAAAATAACCTAAGGCATAGTCGGGCAAAAATAACCTAAGGCATAGAAAGTCTGTTTAATAGGAGTAATTTTGCATAAGACGGTCACGTCTTTCATTTCTTGAGCCGGTAATTTCATGCTGAAAGGCTTAAATACCTACCTGATCCAGTGTCTGGAGGCATTTGGACGACTTCAAATCTTTGAACGCAACTATAGGGCATGGCACATTCCACATTGATTAGGGCGAACACAAAACGCTGCCCGCTTTGACAGACTGAAATCATCAACATGTTGGTCATTGGAGTTTTTCTAAATTGTAAAATCTCAATCACTTGACGCCAACCAAAACAACTCAGCTGAGCTATGCGACTATCTCTCGGAATCGTTAATATTCGCACGGTATCACGACTAAGGAGGCCAGCCCATGTTAAATTGGGGTTTTAGTCAGCCAGATGAGTCTGGTACTAGTAAAAGGTTCTGCTGGTCAGGATAAGGCCCTTCCATGAACCGCGAGGAAAACATGAAACTGCAATACCCCTGTGGACCCATTACCAAAAAGACAGCTTCAGCCCTATCCCCTCAAAAGCAGACTTCGTATCCATGTACTTTTTCTGATGTAATTCATCAGTTTCCCCTTCTTCAGTGAGAGCTCGCCGTTTTTTTCGCAACTATCTCAGCGAGAAATTCGAACAAAGACAAATGGCTACACTCGACTTACACCATACAATAAGACAAAGCACCAAAGGACGAGTGGCCCGTGGGACGGACAGCTGGCTGGCACGCTGTTGTTTGAAGAAATGGTGTTTCGAAACTTTTTTACTTGGAGAAAAAGTAGGAAAAAGCAAGGGCATTGCTATTTTTTTTCTCCCGAAATGTAAAGTGCAAAGTCTTCCAGTGCGTTAAACTCGAGTATGTGGGTTTTATTACCGGGTAATACTAAAGAGCTTACCTGGAACACAATATGCTAGCAAAAGTGGGAGAAGATGATTGCTGCTCGAATAATTGCCCAACATCCTTACGCATCCTATCCTTCAAATATTGGGTTGTCCAAAAAATCCTGCGACACTTGGAATTTGAGGATCGCTAGCTATTCGAAAGCAAATAGCGCCCAATTTAGATCTACGGTAAGGTAGACCACACCTAGGGGGTATTGCGAAATACTCTAAAAAGGCTTCCTCTCTCACGGAAAAACAGTTATGGATCCTACAAATGCGAGTATACTTCGACCCATCGTGTATTATGAATTCCTACAAGGACATTCTGAAGAGAAGCAGTTAATAACATCTGCACTGCATTCAAGAAAGATGTGGTACACCATCCCACTGCCAGCCGCTGGTATCACCGCTTCGAATCCGGAGATATTTCTATCGAAGGACAGGAACGTTCTGGACGGAATTGTGATGGGATGCTCTACTACGAAATCCTGGAAAGTGGCACTACTGTGACGGCGACGACGTACTCTAACCAGCTACAGAAAGTAGCCGATGCAATCCTTCATAAGTATCCTAACGACTGGAAACCTATATCCTACACGACAACGCTCGCCCCCCACGTGGCAACAATGACGCGTCAGAAAATTCGGGAGCTAGGTTGGGAAGTACTAACTCATCCACCGTACTCTCCTGATCTAGCCCCTTCCGACTATCAATTGTTCGAGCCTTGAAGGGGCACCTACGAGATAAGAATTTCGATAATCAGGAGCAACTCAAAATGGAGGTGGGCAACTTCTTCAGCACGCAATCCGCTGATTTCTGAAGAAGTGGGAACGACAAACTGCCAGTGAAATGGATGAAGGTCATCGATAATAATGGCGACTATGTCACTGATTGAACTTGTCTTTCATTGCATAACAAACGGTGTAAAAATTTGTGTTGTTAGTGTCGCATTATTTTCTGGACAACTCAATATAATCGGAGAAAGAACGAAGGCATGGCGAATACTTAACGGTCCATACCCCATCGCTCCCATTCAAATCCTGCAATAACCTTCGGTGATCTTATCACAGGAGTGATAGATATGGAAAATAGTAGGATCCCGAACCCAAAAGTGTGCTATGGACATTGTTCTTGTCTACCATGCCAAAAAAAACCAACCACACCTTTTACCTTCAGCCGCAACCAACTTTAATAGCTTTTGCATGAAGCTTAGCCGCTCCACTGACTTACAGTTATTTTTTGGTTTGAATTACTAGTTATACTTATAAATCAGCTGGGAGCTTTTTATAGACTAATGAGCACTAAAGCCGACCTCGCCAATCAAGTCGTTTTCTGGTTGGCCTCGTAAAAACAAAGACGAAGCAGCGAAGGCACGATTTGTGCGACCCTCCATAGTGAACGAATTAGCTACCGTAATTTCTTACTCTAATTCTCTGTTTTGTAACCACAGTTAGAATTAAATTTGATTCTAACGGTACATAATGTTTTGAAATCTGACCTAACGACACACTACTCTCTTATCCCTAACGCAAACGGAAGCGCCTTGGTCAAGTATGTAGCAAAGTCTTTCATAACAAAAGACTCGAGTGTCGCTAATGGTCAAGTGATTAATGGCGGTAGTACATATTCCACCTACTATGACGGCGACCCCGATTACTTAAACTTTCCGCCAGAATGGACTGCTTGGTAAGATTTCCCGAAAAACTATTGTAACGTAAAGGGCACGGACATGGGGACTTAAGCGCAGTTATGTGAGCATTTTTAAGTGTTGTATGTGTGTAGTGGAAAGGTAGACCAGCATGGAACTCTATGATCAACAATTTTGGAACGATGCTGCTTTTTCGTTGTAGAGTAGCATAAGCCGCGACCGACACCACTACCCTGTTGGTTATCTAAAAGTAGGATGTCACCAGATACAACCAGACCTTCTGTCTCACTAAAGCCGGAACAGTCTGAGTCTGTTGGTGAGAGCTCTGGAATTCTTNATCTAAAAGTAGGATGTCACCAGATATAACCAGACCTTCTGTCTCACTAAAGGCGGAACAGTCTGATAATGAGTCTGTTGGTGAGAGCCCTGGAATTCTTACATTTCCCGATTACTGTGCAACAAGCACCCAAAGTTTGAGCAGTAAGTATCGATGGCATGGAAAGTTCACTTTCTCCATTCGACTCCACTACGTTTCCAAGCATTGGTGGATCTATTGCTCACCAGGAGAACAGTAGCTTCTGTGGCAGTATGATTTGTTTTATTGGAAGAATTTGAATTCCGAAATGTGATTGCTGACATACTCAAAACTCTATACAAACAAAACCAGTGCGTGGCACATCCACCAGCGTCAATAAAAATCTGTTTTTATGTGTAGTTTTATTTCATATGCCAATTAAAACATACATACAACGTAGCAATAAATATTAATGGTACATGAATGAATGCAGTGTGATTTCCTTTGAGGGACGATGTTAATGATTTCTAGTAGTGGATCGATATATCGATCGATATCTGTAAGGTTAGGGTACTCATAGGAATACACAATAACAACATTATACAATATATGAACTAGGCTTTTACCTCCCTACATCATAAAACGTGGTAGGGAGATTTATAGCTGGCGGGCAGCGTGCGATCCATCGTTGAGAGGAGGCAACCGTTAAGAGGAATTCATATGTCGTCAGTGATGAAAGTGAGTGTAAAAGGGGCGGTGATTTCGCAGAGGCACCATGGGATGACCATAGAAATTAGTTATCCCAGTCCTACACACACAACCGATACATAGAAAAAAAATTGGAAATCTACAAAAAAAAAACTTGAAAGTAACAAATCAGGGTCAAACTGAGGGGGTCTTAGAGGTTTCCCGGAGAAAAACCAATAAATTTTTTAGAACAGATGGAAGAAAAACAACACATGAAACAAGAAATGCACACTGAGCATATAAATAGCGAAAGCCAGATTAAATAGCAGTTTTGTGGAAGCTTTCTGATATAAAACATCGTCATCGACCCGCATGCATTGTGAACAATGTGTCTGTGAATGAATTAATACAAAAAAGAATGGATGCGTATGAAATAATGACCAATATATGTCATTAGTTGCCTAAGAATGATTATAAAACTCAGGATGAAAATAAAGAACAAAGAATGAAAAAGAAGTAAAGAAAACAACTAAAAATACTTTTGATATATGTATGTGTAGTGCTTGAAGAATACTTTTCACCGAGATATCGATTGGCTACAGATCATCACGAAGGAATGGACACGATTTCTGGGGGTGGGATAGAGGAGGAACGCTATTCTGACAACGAAGAACAACTTCTCTCGACTTTCTACTCACGATGTAAAGCGTTGCTCCCATGTGGCCTGAAAATTTCGTTGAATTACTTTGGAACAACCTAGAAAAATCAAATGAAAACAAAAAACAAACAACTAAAAACAGCGATAGTCTACGAAGTGCAAAATGTCCCAAGCAAATGCAGTGTTCAATCTATGTGAATTCGAGGCAGCCAAACTGACCACCATTTGGAAGCGCATTGATACAAATCACTCCATTTCACTTAAACATGTGAAAGGAATTGCAACGTAGGAACATTCCCTTTCCCAACTCCCTTACACAAACCTCAGTTCATACTTGGAACTCAACCAAAGATAGACCCCACTCCATCATTTCTTTTGAGGTTACGTCAACAATTTGGACAATAAAGGAAAAAAAGGATTCCTTCGGTTAAGAACCCAGTACCTACTCTACCGTGCAGCTCCACTATTAATGTGCTGTTCTCTAATATAACTCTAATTACTCACAGGTTGTCGTTCTGTGTCAGGAATTGAGCCAAGCGACTCCAATGTCACCACCGATACCGTGTCCTTTTCATCTTCGTAGATCCGAATTTCATCAAATGGAGCCGCATTTTGATCCGATTCAAGATCATGTAGTTGAGATCGCAACTTGTCATCTAAAACAGAAGAACCTAAGTAATGAATGGAAAGAATAACCGATGATCGACCAAGATAACAAACTCAAACGGACAACTCACCAATTGGCGGTCGGGTATACATCGGTGCTGGTGGGCCCATTATTCCGTTACCTTCTATGGGCATAACTGGTTTCCGCAGATTTGCTATCGAGTACTAAAAAAGGTATTTAGCCGAACATAATGAAAGTTAATTTGTGACTACAAGCTCAAGCAGTTAAACACTTAAATCGTCCTTATAAGCTTTGCCTTGCTCCAAAACATTCGATGCCCCACATCCATTATAAACTCAAAACTCCTGTACACCGAACTCCTTGAAAAAATCTAATAAAAAACATCAATAAATACCTGATCATTGTCCGCTTCACCTCCACCTTCGATGGCATACGGTCGGAGATTATCACGATTCAAATCTTCTGGTCGAACCGACTCGAAGGGCGTTGTTTGACGNCATGTAGTTGAGATCGCAACTTGTCATCTAAAACAGAAGAACCTAAGTAATGAATGAAAAGAATAACCGATGATCGACCAAGATAACAAACTTAAACGGACAACTCACCAATTGGCGGTCGGGTATACATCGGTGCTGGTGGGCCCATTATTCCGTTACCTTCTATTGGCATAACTGGTTTCCGCAGATTTGCTATCGAGTACTAAAAAAAGATACTTAGCCGAGCGTTATGAAAGTTAAGTTGTGACTACAAGCTCAAGCAGTTACACACTTAAACCATCCTTATAAACTCTGCCTTGCTCCAGAACATTCGATGCCCCGCAAAACTCCCATTCACCGAACTTTTTGAAAAGAAGTTCTGATAAAAAACAGTCAATAAATACCTGATCATTGTCCGCTTCACCTCCACCTTCGATGGCATACGGTCGGAGATTATCACGATTCAAATCTTCTGGTCGAACCGACTCGAAGGGCGTTGTTTGACGGCGAGCATACACCAACATCAGCATTACCAGCACTGGAAAAAATGTCATAGATTGAGAGACAGCCTTAGAAGATAGTAATAAACGTAGCATCAGCGGAACTATTAGTAACCCCGGACATTACAATTTTGGCAAAACTTTTTAACAAAAATAACCCTATCTACGGAAAGGTGACAGTAGTTGAGTCCACTTTATAGATACCCACGAACACTTAGGAGATTAGCCAAAAGTAAGGCTACAAAAGACTTGTGAGTTCGAGGAGACCGCAAAAAGAAAAGTGAAACTTTGAAACCGATATTCAAAAAAATTTCTGCAGAATGCAAGCTGAAACTTGCTGAATTACTGAAACTATGAAACGGAATTACAAATGACTCACTTATCAACAGAACCAGTGAAACCAATATCAAGATGATCGCAGGATTACTGATACCTAANGAGTGATGACCACATACCTGTCCATCATCGCCGAGCATCGCATTTGCACCTTCCGGGCAAGTACAAAACGCTCCTTTCCAGAAATCCATACATACCATAGCACCGCTACAGTAACCGACAGGAAGCTGGGCGCAGGTGATCAGCAGGCTGCATCCTATAACAGAAAAATTTGCTCATCCAGCTAATCCAAATTCATTTCATACTTCGTAGTCGACTTTTTCTATTCGGTCCCTCTTCGGGTTTCACATCCCCACAGATAAAATCTCACCAGGGACAAGAAAAAGCCTCCGAGGATAAAAAAAAGAATGCAGCGGCACTCAGTCCCGAAAAAAGCATACAACGGTTGTCGATAACAACGCGATAAGCAGGAAAAACAGCAAAAGGACACCGATAGATCTCCCATAAAAACGACTGAGTGCAAAAAAGCTACGAGTCTAATAGCTGGCTGCACTTCCACCCCAGCACTGAATGATGGATATCTAACAATTCCCTTACAAAACCTTCAAAATTTTAGAGCCTTCACATTAACTGCAAAAATTGCGCATTTCTGTTCATCTCAAATAATTAAACATGTACGTCACGGTAATGACGCCTACTTGGAGCGTTACTCTGACAGTAGGATAGAAAAAAAAACTAATGAGTCTGCCTTCATTCAGAGAACTGTCGAAAGTTCACTCCAAAAAAGTCTCGAACTTTGGTTGGATGGTTGAAATTACATTCAAACTATTCACAATTAGGAATACAGGAATTTCGATGGGGTTGGATCTCGAGAAGAGGTATGTTTTTTATCGCCTGCCACGATGCAAAAAATCGTATTACATTCACCCACAGCGTTACTAATAGGAAAATTGCATTCCAGAGATGTAACAATGTCAGATTTGGCTAGGTTAACGTCTGGCCCAATCCTCCTTCACTTCTTTCCAGTCACCCTTATATCTCTCAAGCCAGCCGGAACAATGCAAATCCAGAGCCAGCCGATACCACTTTGGCTCAAGGACAACGACCATCTCCAGAGAAAGAAAAAGAAGAAACCAAAGCCAGAAAACTAACCATCGGACACTCCTTCTGATTTTGTAATCGAAACGATACTCTCATCGTCTGGATCGATTGCCTGATTGGATGGCCGGCGCAATGGAAGATTCTGGTTTGACCAACGATACGTTCCCACACATCCCTTAAAACAGAGGGATTAATGTTAAATGACAGAAAACATGAAAGAGTACATTGTGTGCTTTCAAAAACCAACCTGAAAGCCTCGTCCACCACTATGCGTTCCGAGGAATAACTCGTTGACTTGTAGGGCAAACGACTGCGAATTACCAGTTGGATCCAACACCTGCGACGTGTAGTACGCGTCGTCGATAGATAGCGACGCTCTAAAGTTACGCAGTTGTAAAATAGGCATAAATCAGTAAACCAACCCTGCGGTAAACGATACGCAGTGTGGTTTATAATGTAACCCAACACCCAATCCAACCATACGGCTTAACCCACATTGGCGTCAGCCTTTGCGACATCACTCCAAATCTGTCAAAATACACAGAGCGTATAAACTAACCGAGTAGGATTTCTCGTGAAATGCATCCAGTAGGAAGAGTTCTCTTTCAGCGACAGCTCGTTGATTCGAAGCTGAGTGAGTGAATTTCGTACCCCACCCAGGTCAAATTTGGCCATTGGCGTCAGACCATCCGATGTCATTTCTGCTGATGTTGAAACGTAGTTCTGAAAAGAAGAAATTATTCAGGAAACGAAACTAATTACTGCGAACTTGGAAAAACTGAGCCTACAAATTGGGGCTGACTAAACAAAAACATGTAAAGAGGTCAAGAGGAGCAAAAATTTCGAAGTTTCTTTCGAAAGGCCCAGAAAGGCCAACAATTTGCATGATTTGGGACAAACATTATAGTCCCAGCAAGACCCTTTTTTTGGTGTCTACCGACAGAGTAAGGTTGGAAATCTCTGCCAATTCGCATTCGATTCATACTTTTTCCTTATTATAGTTGCAGCATTCCGAAGTAATTAGCTCGTATACTCACCTGTGACTTATCCGCTCCATAAGTGAGTTCAGCGGCACCGCTTACTCGTCCGGGAATAAAAAGCAACTCGATGTCGTTCGTCTGTTCGGGGAATGCAATCTTTGGCAAATAATCGATAAAGCCACCCGATTGCATTTGAATCCATTCGATCTTCTTTTCACAGCGTGCACCACCCCATCCAGGATCACAGATACATTTCGGGACAAGTGATGTACTTCCCTGAAACCAGAGACCTTTATTTTTCTACAAAAAAGCAACATCCCAACGTCACTTTTGGCAAATCCACTTAATTGAGTAAACAACCAGTAAATGTAACCTTACCTGAACATCAGCATAGCAATCCCCATGAACACAATGGGTAAGGCTATCGATGGCATTGCTATCACATGCTCCTCCCCATAGTTTGCATCCACTCGCAGTATTCTTTTCATATGATGGTGTTGCTAGATCGTACTGATCGTCATTCACCCTAAGGTTACGAATACATCCACTTAGAGCTGTTCTCGGTACTGCTGATGGATAGGCTTGACCGTTGGCTAGTGGAGCGAGACCTAAATGGAATAATAAAGCCGTAAAAGGTTGCGCTACAACAGCTCACTCCCCAGACGTCTTCCTATTTCAATCTCACCTCCGATTTGCACTGGGGCAACAATATTGAGGCGTTCGTCATCGTCTGGTGTGTAAAGCGATTTCCGGCACGATGAGNATACATCCACTTAGAGCTGTTCTCGGTACTGCTGATGGATAGGCTTGACCGTTGGCTAGTGGAGCGAGGCCTAAATGGAATAATATAGCCGTAAAATACCATAGACCGTGATATCATAAACTTCTCCACAAAAGTCTTCTTATTCGATCTCACCTCCGATTTGCACTGGGGCAACAATATTGAGGCGTTCGTCATCGTCTGGTGTGTAAAGCGATTTCCGGCACGATGAGTCATCCGAGCCTGCGCCAAGATAGCGACATTGGTCGACCACAAGCTCAATGTACTGAAACGTAACGATAAGTAAGGCGATAAAAGAAATCTGGTAGTTTTCTCTAAAACTAAAATTCCTGAAGAAAGAAAAAAACTACTCCCCTATACCAAATTTGCGTCTTCGTAATTAGGGTTCAAAACCGTGCAAGGATAAGGGCAAGGGCGAAGATTACCAATGCATTACACTGCATAATTCAATGAAAATAACGGTATTTCCCTTCTACCCCGAAGTTCTAGGCTGTCACCACTCGAGGAGGCGAGCCAGATCCAATAACCGTACACATAAGAGGTAATCAAAGGCTTAAGGAGGATTCAAGGGTCTAGCCTCGACAAACCTCCACTGGTCTTCGGCCGGATTCACGGGAAAAAGCACGAAGAAAAAACAAATGTATTTGTAGTACATGGGCTGTCGTCTATCCTACCAGTGACGCTGACGCTGACGCTTTTACATAAGGTAAGGTGATTTGTACTGTTACACTTCAAGGTCTAGGACGCAATCCAAAACATTCTAACCCCTTCCGCAGACCTTCGACTATTTTAGTCCTACTCACTTCACATTACCCCCAGAATGCAGGCAAGTCCTATCACCTTAAATAAAAGTTCACAATCCCGTCACTTTCCTGACAAAACTCATACTCATGAAGATTCGAAAAACTTGCCTTTCCAATCTGCGTCACCGCGAGTTCATGCCACGTCCCGTCATTCAAGGCTGTTGATGCCACCTCAAGGTTGACTGGTGCTATGCCATTCATCGACATCTGCAACGTCATTATAGAAAGAAAATTCACGACGACTAATTATGTCTATAAAAACCGCAGCGGTGCTACAGAGGCAATTTCCATGCGAAATTGGAAGGCCTATCTTACCTCCATCACAAGACGACCTCCTCTGAGGTGTATAATTATATAGTCCCTATAGTCGATCTGTTTCTCGGTTGTTTTCGTGTCCATAGGACCGTTATAGAAAAGAACAGCATCAGGTTGGCTGAAAAAACAAATGATAAACATAAACAAGATGTAGACATCCAAGTGAGTAGCAATGACTATGAACATGCCATCAATGGTAAGCGAAGAAATAAATGAAAGCACACATTGAACTTACAGTGTCATGAATTGCAGGCTAATGTTGAGGCTTGTGCAGGCCGGCATTGGTTTGTACCAGGCGAAACCGTCTCCAGAGAACGATCTCGTTGTTCCCTGACACCTGGAGCCCTTTAGCAGATCGTTACGGCATTCACAGCTGGAACGACAGGAATTAAGGACTTGAGGACTTCTGAGAAAATATCGTTCAACATACAAATAGCAAAAAGGCGGAATTATGTTCCCCACCAACTACCGAAAAAACAAACAAGAAATGAAAGCTACCCAAAAATTAGAGCGCCGAAATTTGAAAAATGTCAAAATTACGTCTTATATACGTACTGAATAGCAGCTTCTCATAACCGACAAAAATGGGGCTCCACTAAATTGTCTGAGAACAGGATCCCGAAAAAAACTTACAAAAAGCCGGGATGAGTGTTGTGACAGACTCCATCGTTGTGACACAGCCCTGCCAGACACTGAGATGGTGGACGCCAAACGGGACAAGTACACTCGTCTTTGGATTGAGCGTTCACTCCGACTAGTACAGTGCTGTTCGCTGAGACAACCACTCCATTCTGCAAAACAACCACTGAATTATACTCATTGAAGCACATAAAAGCATATTACAATACAATACCATTTTTTTGCTTGAAGTGAGCCAAACAGGTCTTCCTAACGTTTTTCAACAATCAGGACAATTAGAAGAACAGCAATTATCGGATGAATATTATTCACCCACTAGAACTGCTAGTCAAACCCTAATGAATATTTGAAATATCGATGGAATATTGTAATATGCTGTTGCTGGTTAGTGAAATGGGAAAAGAAAGTTAAGGATAGGCAAGATGAACTCACAAAATCTGCCGTGCTTATCGTCTGACATCCCGAATCGCATACAGTAAACTTGCACATGTCAATGCCCACACCAACAATGGTTACACCCATCTTCGACTGCAATTCGTCTCGATTTGCCGAAATCAAACCGTTCAACTGTGTAGAGTCTCTGAAACATAAGCATTCAGTGAGAAATCAGGATAGAGCCAGATCGATATATCCATGAAAATCCAATAGCAAGTACACACCTATAAGGAGAGCCATGAGCTGAGAAACGAACATTCAACACCGGAACGGTACGAGTTTGCAATGTTGCGTAATCCAACTAAAAATGGAATTGAAAATAATCTGACAGTTCGAATCCCATTAGAATCATCTGAATGGACCGAAAACCAACCTGTACAGAGAACACATCCAGCAAAACGTTTCCGCCCATGTATTTAATCATTTCTTGCGTAAAAATGTCCTGGATGCTCTTACCACTAGCGTTTACTCGAATGAAATCTTCAGGTGTTTGCAGAGGAGAATCCTCTGATAGTAACAACTGCATGGATCCCTGCAAAAAAAAAATATTACAATTCTCTTATGCAATTAAGTACAAATGGTCAAGAATTGAGATCATCAAAGGAGAAGGTTTCTAATTGCCTACCAATGTGCAATGCTAAGTTACGAGATACCATAAGGTAGCGGTAGGATACAGCTGGAGACAGCAAGTGAACATCAATGAGCGACTTAAAGCATGAGCAAACGGGAATCTTTTTCGACCTAATTTTTGAAGTCTATTTTGAGCAAACCATACTGGGAGCAGACAGCGATACTGGATTAACGGCCAAAATGAATGTAAGCATTGGCTTTTGAAAAGAAAGGCTTGAACGATGCGAAGTGAGAAGAAGTAACACTGGATAATCAAAAACGGCCAGAAAATCCATTTTGCAAACCTAGTAAATCGATACTTTTACGATACGATCTACTTTTAAAAAACTATTATCCCACCTGGTTTGCAAACGCAACCTCCGGCACTAGCAAGACATTCACGGTCACATATCCAACTGCGTTCTCATTACGACGGTTATCGTGTACATTCGCTGACATGTGATAGGTACCAGGGGGCATATTAGCATCCATGGTAATCTATAAAGATCGACTTTTAAATGAAAATCTGTGAAGTTACTGTCTGACTAGGTAAATTCTACTAACCTCTCCTTTTGGTGACAATTCAAAACCAGGCAATGATTCCTTCCATGTGAACGTTTTATCACCCAAATCCCAATCATCCAGATCCTCCACATATACTCGACCAATCTGGGTCTTCTTCAACTTGCCAAGATACGAGTTCACATTGATCTGCATCTTTCCATCGTGCATAGGATTATCATTCTGAAAAGTATGTCCTGAATGGAACACAAGGAAAATCGTATGCCCAGCAATAACAGATATTGATTTCTGTCAGAAGATCAGCATACGTATTGAAAGAAGTGTGAAGGTAATGAAGTTCCTTTACTAGCTGTAGAACGTGCACTTCACCACCTCCAAATCCCGGTAAAACTTAACTAGCGTCCTCCTGAGTGAGGCTATGTTTGGGCAACAAATCGGCTCCCTTCCACTTTTTATCATTGACCGCCTTGATAAGATATAATGCACAATTAGTTTAAAAGCAGCAATCGTTACCCATAGTAACGACCTTTTCCTTGATACACTATACACATCTACATCGTGCAAAAAATACGCGTCTATTGAGCGTGCAATGCATTCACGCCCATTTAAGCCATATAGTTCCGAGCTTATTTGAATTATGAATAGGAGAGAATGGTTGCATTTCTGAGTGAATAAGCCCTTGTTATCGTTGCCCCGCGGATGACTTGACTGGGAACTGAAGGCTACAATGGAGAAAATTAGTCATAACGTTCTGCGACAGGTGGTCCAAAGAACGACCCCTTTGGAAAAGTTTGAGCGATGCTCTTTGATTTGATCCAACAAGATTTTCTCAACCAGAATTCCAGTACCGAGTGTAAAAAACCGAGGCATCGCGGACCGGCGAAAGGATCGTGCTGCAATCTAACAGCTATGTACACCGTTTTTTATCATTGCGCAGAATGCTGTGCTTGAATTCTTCCATTTATTCCCGGTCGCGTCAACATAGAGCTAGCAATGCCTGTTTCGATCGACAATACAATGATTCTATTCAATTTTTAATTAGACTAAGCTCGATTTTCGGCGGAAGCTCGCACAAAAACGTTTGCTTGTAAATGATCAATCAGATTGGCTGCAATCTGCCCAATTCGCGTGAAATTTTCAGATTTGTCGACTGATCATTTCTGTGCGTCTTTTCTGAGTCTCTGGAGCTCCCCTAGAATATGCTTCACAACTAGCAGCGTGCCATGAAGGTCAGCTCTTGTTAGATGACACCGGGACCATCGTCTCACCTCTCAGCTCCACTTTCCATGACAAATATGACTCTACCCTACCATAATGACAATGCGGATACGTAGCTGTCTGTCTTAATTAGACGCATAACATTAACCCCGAGACCTTCGCGATCCGCTCCGACCAACCCCTTCCCCATCACTTAAGAGATGAGACAGGATGTAACGTGTAGTTCCAAATGACCCTCGCCCCCTCTTCTGCAAACAGCGGCCAACCTAACCGCGATGTGCTTGCTAATAAATGAGGCGGATCGTAGAGAGCTGCCTGACCGCTTGTATACAGACAAACACAAACGCAGACGACACATCTCACTCCGATTCCCACTGACATTTCGACTCTTCAGCGTGACAAATTCAATTCGACAGTCAGCCAACAACCCAGGCCACGTCCCTACGGCTCATGTCTGGTCGGTCAGATCCGGCTGCCACAGCGGGTGGTTTCGAGTTACGTTGAGCATCCGAACAGCACGATGAATGAGGTTGCGGAGGGTTTCAAGTCGCGTCCCGTCTCCTCTTTAAAGGCGAGCCGCCACCGTCCTTCAAAGCCGCACATTACCGGTACGTAACAATCGCACTCAGGCGGATTAATATAGGGCAATTTTTGCGGATTTGCATCCACCAAATACCTGTGCACGGCGGTGGCGACAAAGACGTACAGATTAGCGCTGGACGGCTTACGTTGAAGGTGGAGGCCGTCTTGCGCTATGTTGACGCACGTAACGATGGAAGAACGGACTCATGCACACTCATACGATTCCTTACGCCATGGCCAGTTCACCGGACAACCCCAAAGAACGGACAGACTAGCAAAGCCTAGGATATGACAGCTCCTACAACTACTACTTGGATAGCAGCGTCGGCTCGACCAGATTTGTATGAGGGTGCAAGTAAGCGTGCAATAAAGGTCATAATCTGCACCTCACTAATGGACTGCAATTATTCCTATTCGGGCAACAGAATTTATTGCCCTTCTTACTATAGGATTTTTAGAAAAAGATCAGACCATGTCGCAATCAATCAAAATAAAACTGAACCAATAAATTACGCATCACTTCTACGGACGAATTACGATTTTTCTGTCCCGAATGTAGATCTACAGTATCTCAGCGAATGTCTTAGGACCCATAGCTCCATTTCCAACCCCACAAGCAACTGCACACTGAGGGAGTTTGAGAGGGAGTATGGTCCCCACTCTATTTCTTTCTGCTCAATTTGATCAAAGCTCAGACGCGACTAGCCTGGAGCCTATGCAAAGCCGGTACAGATGTGAATCATAAACAAAATCTGCAGACCTCAATGGGTGTTTATTTATAGCCGTACGGCGGTATTCATAAAACGATTCTTAACCTCAGCATCTTTTTGTAATCGAGAGACAGACCCAGAACTTTCTTTCTAAACATTCCATCACCTACCTCGTCTCCAATGATGACATGAACGGATGCATGATTTGTTTTATCCGCGCGATCGGTGAGAATCAGTGGAATTTCGAGAATTTTACCCGGATTAGCGGCCTCTCGATCGAATACTACCAACGGGCGGATCGTCATCGATCCATTACCACCGTCACCGTCTACAATGATCGAAGTTCAAGAGAAAAGTACAAAAAGCTCAAGGTATTAAAGGTTTAGTCAAAAAACTGTGTACTTACGGGCATCGAATGTCACACTCAAATAGTCGCCAAATCTCCATTTACTCTGATCGAGTTGCATATTGAATGGCGGTCCGAATTCACTGTAAATAATTTGCAAAATCAGAAACATCACGACCTATCACTTTTCTACAGCAGTAAAGGAAAACCCTCAAATGTATCGTTTCCCTAGGACACCGCAGCATCTTTCATGCATGTTTTGCACCATTTTGAAATGAGACACATTTACATTCGCAACCATGGAATCTCATTAAAAGTAGCTGCTTTGGGCGTTCCTACTCGCAGAAAAACGCTATCCAAAAGTGAGGCGAAAAGTGAATGAAAAGAGGTCTTAACTGTCATCAAAATAGCTTGTAAAGGAAATGCAGACCGTAACCACAAAAAAAGCATAACGTTAAACAAAGATTACTGATAATCAGTGGAATTGAAACTTATAACTTACGGTGAATCCTTATCGGTGCAACGGATTTCACACGTGCCCTGCTGATTGACTGGTGTATTCTCCGGAAACACGCAGAATTTCGGTACCGTATACGGTTCAGGACCATTATCATTTACATCACGTAAGTAGACGGCTACCAACTGAGTTCCAACGTTGCCGGCTAAACCATACAGAACTAAATCTAGTGAGTAAACAAGTAAGCAAATGGCACTTATGAGTTGTAAACATCAAGAGTAGTCCAAATACTTTTTTTTAGTGAAAGTAAGAGTTGCCGAGTTAAATAATTCAAAAATGTTATAGCCCAACATGTGTACAATACTTGTGGTATATAGCTAATTAAAAAAAAANAAAAAAAAACAATTCTGAGTATACCCCCAACATTCAGTTTAGGGAATATGAGATCCTACAAAAGTATCTTGGATACGGTGGTTAACGACCGTAAGATCTTGACATAACTTCTGCCGTTTTGCTCCCACAGTTCCTACGACCTTTCTTTTGCACAATTCTCTAAGAAGCCGATTATTATCTTAATTATCCAAGCTGTAAGCCCTGGCTCGAATGTCTGGTCATGACTTACAATAGCTGCAGGCAAGAAATCGCAACCGTTCCCACTTTGTTTCCTTCATTAAACTGTTGATCAAATCAAATTCGATGTTTTCAAAATCTCATACTAACCGGCGTCAAACGCCTCGATAATAAGCTTGTAGCTACTGATGTCTTCACGATCCAAGCGTTGAGCGACTCGCAGCGTTCCATCTTGATCGATCGTAAACTGCCGTTTCGGATCTGACTGGCGATTGATTCGGAACCTGAAGTGAAGCAAATCTGATTCGATTGAATTAAACACTTCATGGATGATTAATTGACTACTTAGCATCCTGTGATTAGTTATTCCTATGCTAATTCTCCGTTCAAAATGCCGAAAAAGCCCGTTGGTCGTGGCAGCTGCTTAAGCTCTCCGATAGTTATGTAACAAAGCCGCGTCACTTCTGGCCCTAGTGCTAATCTACCCAGACCAGATGTTCGACGACGATGGCGTCCATAAACATAGCGTTGCACGTCTCATTAAAGACCTGATCAAAGCTTCACGCTTGTTGACGAACTAATCAAGCAGCAAGACTTCCTGGGAAACCTTCTAACAATAAGCCATATGATGGAATGATCAGACTGTAGAAGTTCCGAACCAGTGCTGAACAGCCAACCGCTGGTAATTTCCGAAATAGGAATTTTTTAACTCTTCCGCTTCTTTGCATTCATTGGAGTGTGATCATAGCTGCAACCTAATACAGTCATAAGAAATGTCTTCAGAATAATACGTGGACCTGGTCAATTCCTGTCCTCTTCGCCTTCTTTCCCTCCTTGGGATAAACGGAGAAGGCAGAGCCTTCATGGTGCAGTAATTCTAAACTTTGTCAGTGCGGACGTTTTTCAATTGACAAGTGAAAACCGAGCAGAAACAAGAAGACGAAACGCGAAACCTCAGTCTTGCTTACTTGCCATTTTAATTTACTAGTTTTAACTACGATCCCCTTTTTGGGCGCGCCGTCAAAGAAATTCCTACATTGCCCCCACCCCGCACTCCATTCACCCACACAGGCTAATTTTGGCCATTGATCGTTGCTGACCTTGTTCAGACCGAGATGAAAGCCGTTCACCGACTCGTACAGTCTCCACTCAAGGCCACTTGAACGGCGATGACGAGACCACCCCACCAGGGCTTTATAATACGGCCAGTTCAAGAATGCTTGGCGCCTGGTGGGCAGGAAAAGATAAGGAGACCTCAAAGCGGCTAACTAGCCGGGTCCCTTGTCGGGTGGCTGCTCTTGGCGCCTCTCTCGGGAAGTACTCAAACCTCGTTTAGTCGCCTTTGCCGTAATGCCTCACGGATGTTATTTATTCGATGCATTCTCACGCTCGATACTCTTCTCTGGAGAGCCAGTGAAAGAGTTTCCGCCTAACTGCTGAGCGCATGCTACATTAATACTGCCGGGTCGGTTGGCAATCTAAACGGCAGGCCATCTATTATCCGAAGGAATCTAGAGACTCGATATAGGCTATGATATATAGCTAGTCTCGTATAAACTTCACTGAGCTAGTGTGCATAAGTGACAGCTGGAACCTAACAGACAGCAAAAAGTGGCAAAAAGTGAGCGCTTTTCCCGTTCCCCCCGTCTACTCCGTATCTCGTTATTCAGGCATAACCATATCCATTCAAAACTAACTACCCCAGAGCATTATCTGAGGAAATACCGAGGAAATGAAGAATCGTCAACCTCACGTATGATCTGACACCTAGTAATTATCTTGTCCGATATAGATGCCAATTATGTACGAGGATTTCCACACATGGCGTCCTCTTTCTCCCCATCACCCTTATATACGATATTTGAACTCCCCTTCAGCTCTTTAACGTAATGACCATCACGCACTGGACAAACATTCTGTGACTGAATGACCGCCGTCACACACTTCAACTCCGATGTGAGTGATTGGGTTACTCGAACGGTAAAGCACCTCGTCTGAACCACAGAGCCATTTCCCTCTTGGTGGATGTAAAAATACATAAACAGCCAAGGGACAGAACCATTCACGCGTAGCGATGATTATCGTCAATGACTCGCTCGGCCCCGTCGACTTTAACTCTTTTAGCGTCCCTGGCGAGGGTTTTAGAGACTCTTTTGTTCCCATACTCCCACCGTACACAACCTGCCTTGACCAGTAATTACTGTCGCTCATACTCATCTTCACCGTACGTACTGGTCCAAATCACAGCGCCATGAGAGAACGCATGACCGCACGCTTAAGTGTATAGAATAAACTTGCACCTAATGAAAGCCAAAAAGGACCCCCCTGCTGAGCACTTACTACTGCCGTGATGACAAACCACGCTCTTGCTATGACTAATCTGCCTCGTTTTCCGGTCTTTTACAAAGCACCACGGCGAAAGAACGTTCTGAATAGCCTGCTTCCCAAAACGCCATCAAATTAATGGACAAACTCTGTTGAGCTGAAGTACGAGCTCCTAAAAGTGCTTGTAGGGAGGAACATGTCCTTGAAGAGAAAGTAACTACGAATTATGTGGATATAAATGGTCTTCGTGAAGTTCTCCAGTAATTTTAAAATTTGGATAGGAATTTATAAAAGCCATCGCCCTTTCAAAAAAGGGTTGAGCTAGCTGTGGGAACCTCGCCACAACAGCCAGTTTCCTGTAATCTTTTCTTTCTTCCCAACTTGTAGCACATTTGTTCTACCAGTTGAGCCTGAACAAATACCCCACAAATACGTCACGCTCGGTTGCGAGTCGTCGAGGTGAACGTCTCGACCAACCGAGGCTGTGTGAGGCCAAAACAAACATGCGATGCACCCCGTCAAAAACGACAGCAAATAGGGCTGATATCTCTAACCGAGACTTAAATTGCTACGTTTCTCGCTCCCAGGTGACTGATCCGGGCAGGTCAGCAACTCTCGAGCAGCCCTTCCCCCATCTGCTGCTGCAGACTGTGAAGTTCCTTGCGTCTCACCAGCTCCATCAAATACGTTCCGATAGAAGATCCGATGCGAGATGAGAGCGTTCGCGCGGCAACCTATTCAGGTCAACCTCAGCTGGATACTCGCTGACGACCCAGCAGACACACACGGGTCTACTCCATTCGGTCTTCTGACAGACGATGACTAATAGGAAATGGAAGAAGTCGGTCATGTACAGTAACGTCTTGAGTTTCGGCTTGATATTTGAGAATAATTGCGACAACCATCATTCCCTATTCTGTGTTTCGGTGCGATTGGGTTACAAGTATAACTACACGTGCAGAAGGTACAAAGGATAGTACTACGACTCGTTTTCCGGTTTCCCATGAGGAAATATGATCAGAGGGATGCGATATGTACCAGACCGAAGTTACCACCCTTTGGCACTATGAAGTCCTGGATGGAAGAAGCAAATCTGACTGCTGTTTCACTTCTCTCATGTCTCAGACAGGCAAAACACCTGAAACTTTAGGAGATAGTGAACATGGTCTAAATAATTAGGAATTTGGCATCAATCTATATCGGCATCGCCACCGGAGACTGAAGCTTCGACAGATAAACCCTTGTACAATCAAACCCACCAACCCAAGACAATTTTTCATGAAAGCATCTCAAAATCGAACACCCTGACGCCCTCTTCTCTCGCATGGCAGCAAAAACGCAACGGGCCTCCGAATCGAAATTTGTCCCAAGTGAACTTGAAAAAGTCCGAAGTACACGAAGATTTATTAGAGAATGCTCGCCGACTACAAGACCCAATTTACGTTTTTAACGCCTCTATAGCTTTGCCAATCAGAAAAACCTTTGATCGCTGAAAACAGCTTAAACCATTCAGTAACACCTGGAAAAGTTTTCTTTTGATAAAGCCTTTATCGAACTTGATCAATACCTCTTTCAATTCGATTAAATTCATCTTCGCAAAACACCTATGCCGATAACTCCAGCGATCTCTGGTGTCAATATTTGGAGTTTGAAGCAGTGCCAGAATAATCTTCAGAAAAAAACCCCACACGCTTGCCTTTACCTAAGGCTATTGAACTTTAAATATAGATCATAGACCTTAAAATTTTAAACATAGAACGGTCAAATATCTTAGTCCAATGGAATCCAGTTCAGTAATTTGTGCTTTCGTCCTATTCCTGCTCCCTTGAACCTCCACTCAAGATAAGCACATCCACTCCAAAAAACCCTTGTCGTATTGGACGCTCCAAACGAACGCACGCAGTTAATGAATTCCGGTACCAGATGAGCCCAATGCCGTTCGGGGACGCCATTCACAGAACCCTCCATCGCATCATTACGACAGCCAGTAAAGTTCCCCCTCTAGTAATTACTAGTATCACGACCATATGTTAGTCAGATCTCGTACTAATGAAGAAGCTGGAAGACGCGGTTGCCTGCAACCGGTTCATGGTGGACTTCGCTTGTGGTCATTCATCTGGCAATTAGCAACGACACGAATGACCAAGGCAATTAAAATACAATAAAGAATCTACTTATTATGGCTCGTAAGCTCATAGTAATCAGTGTTGCAGCAGCTATTATGCCTTACTAGCCTAGCTAATTAGGCTAGGTGGAAATTAGACTGGGAATTCTCTGGAATCTAAGGATTTCCATGGTTATATAAAACCTAAGCACTCCACCGAAAACCATCCAGCCAGCCTCTGCAAATAAAGAAACACCATGTCGTTACCATGTCATTAAATTAGAGAGTTATATGAGGAATTGGACCTGGGCTATAAGAATAGCCAGAACGCGACTGAACCGCTTCTGGTCATCTGATTGAGAACCGCAATCTCAAAAACTTTATTGTCTTTCTTAATGGCCCAGCAAAAACCTCAAGAAAACTCGTCCCATTTCAGAAAACTTGTACCGAGACAGACCAAATGTCCTGCTACCCATCCATCTAACTGCTTAAATGATTTCGATTGAAACCGTTTTCCCAACAAGCTCAATTGTTGATGAATACACAAGTCAACTGGCATTTTGCCAAGACCCATTTTCTAATAGAATATTGTTTGCATTCCACGTCAATTGTTCAAAACAGCAATACTGCCCCTGCTTGGTTGTTAATCCCATCGAGAATGAGTAAACAAGTCCTAATCCTATATAAAGATTCTCCTGGTGAATAGCCATAGCCAACTATTGATCCGAGCATTGTTAGTTATTTCTGCAAAACCTTCAGCTCTTATCTCAACAAGCCATCAACTTGAGAGTAGTGAATGGCATGACTATATCGAGAAAGCCATTATTTTCCATGCTTGAGGTGATTGTTTATGTTCCAGTCGTTGTTGAAGCCAATTTTCTGGCTGCTCGTAAGCCAAGAATAATGCCTGGGGATGGGCCCGGCTTTTCAACGACTTCAAGTTGAAGATTAATGCCACTCTTATGTGCTGAATAACTGAGTCAATGCTCTTCCTCCGCAGTGACACCTGTATCGATCGCCTGACTCATCTCTCACATAGTCGTATCTTATCGTCGTTGATGGCAGTTCACATACGACGTCTACGTCCGGGCGATGAGTCAGGGAGCGATTGCTATCGTGAACACCTGACGACAGTATGTTTACGCCTTAAAAAGTACGCTGGAGTAGAATGCAGCCCAGACTAATCGATGATGTGCCTGCGGCTGAGAAGAGAAAAAAAAACCACACGCGCACTCACTAAGCCTCAATAAGAATGCAATCAGGCGGAGTTACGAATGACATTTGGCACCTCGTTTCGGCGAAAATCGACTAAGAATGGAGAGCAGAGACTGACCGGTGATGTTATTCAGCACTTCTACGGGTTCAACAATCAATAAATGAATTCCAGGACTACAAAGGGGGCAAAATAAAAGTAAAAAATCTACTTATAAAAGAAAAAGTATTACAGAAAGCAGGAGAAAAATGAAGGTCACCTAAACACTGAATCAAATCTGAGTTATCCGTAACACAAGGTCCCGCATCAAACCTTGCGCATATACCCTACCCCTACATTCATTGGTTAAAACTATCTTGTAAAAAAGAAATCCTGACAAATCGAAATACATGGCTCAAAGAACCTACACCTCCACGAGGTAAACTATCCCAAGCACCGAAAAAACGTGGGTTCGGAATGGATTCCCTTGAGGATCGCGTTTCAGTGCTACAGCTGGATTGCAAAAATAACCCAGTCCATTTGTTAACATCGCAGAAACACTCAATCAAAATAAACCATAAAATAAGGAAAAGCAGAAAACGAAAGAAAAGACGAAGAATAACCCGCCTATACGCGATCTAATTAGTAAATTATGTACCACTTCACACAGCTCAAGCACCGTGTGCCCTCTTACCATATGTCATGATCAAATAAAGCGAAAAATCGAAAAGAAAAAGGGCATTGGCGCTGAGACAGGCAACAACCGTGAACAACCGTGAATAAGAATTAATTTCCACATGAATTACATGTCGGACCTGCGGCCCGTTATGAAATATGTCACGAAAATTCCTCCAGATGTACACGGTTCCTGCATATTCAAGCGCCAATAGACCGAAACGGTAGGAATGATAATACTTACGTGTAATTGAAAGTCGGCAACGTAGGGTCATGAGCTTTGAAAGTATCTAATACAGTGCCGATGGCCGTATCTTCACTGATATTCTTCATCACAAATACTTGAATTGCGCGCTCCTGGGGCGACACATAGGTGGAAAATCGCGATTTTGCCAGCGATGTGTCCAGACCAAATGGCAGTGATAAGTCGTTTATAGCTCGCGTATCAGGAATAATCGCGACGACAAGTATAGCCAAATAGAACCAGACCCGTGGAACTCCCTTACCTTGCATGATCACCGACATCACGATCTGTGACGTTGAACCGTGCGACGATGCTGCCACGCTCGGCATCCTCGGAGATTTGTACTTCTGATGGACCTGTGATGTCCGGCGCGTGGTCGTTCTCATCGATGAGCTGCACGACGATGTCGCTGGTGGTGCCATGAAGTCCGTCGCTGACGCGGACGCGCAGACGGAATCCGTCGCGTTGTGCAGGGTCCTCGTAGTCGAGCGGCTGAGAAAAGATTCTCGTTTACAGAGTGACAACTCGTCTAAGGGAGTTCCTAACGGGTCTGGCTTATGAATCGAAGAGTAATCCTTTTGTGGATCGAAAGACATGCAAAATAATAAGTAGAGCTCGGCAGTGGCTGTAGATGGAACAGGCCGGCCGTCGGCGTGGGCCGTGTGATTAGTGAGTTGGTCCTGAAACGAATGCCTACGCACATGCACAAGTGAATTTAGGACGTGCCAGATAAAAGCACACGAAAACGAGAATAAATTGTTGTCGGAGAAAGTCGTAAAGAACGAGAATGTACGCCTCATCGGAGGATTATCTCTATCATTAGGCGCAACAAATAGATAGGAAGTGATCGACCTGGGGAGAACGGGGTGTGATTCGGGGGCCGGGAACAGCTGGTCAATTCAGATGAAAGCGTTAATGAAATAATAAGTAGGACATGAGATCCTCGAAAAACATATTGCGTTTCTAGAATTTAGGTCGTTGGACGATGAAGTGATATCCATTCCTCAAAAACAAGTTAGCTCGCTTTGGCATTTCAAAACCCATAAAAAACAAAATACGTATATCACCAATTAAAAAAAACTAACTGTAAAGATCCAGAGCATAAGTATAACTAGCTTGAGTGCTTAATTCTGCTCAAAACTGCTTTCTTAAAAAAAAAAAGATTGGTGAAGAAAGTAACCAGTACAGTAAGCAGTCAGTCTAGAAACTGGGGAATCCAACAGAACGGTTAATTTGTTCCATGTAGGAACAGATCTACATTTGCTGCAAAAAAAGGTTTTTTTTCAAAAAACCAATATATGCGAAAAACTAGCTGGTCTGGAGGGCAGTAGTGATAGCTTTATTATTCCGAAAACATTATGAAAATAAAAATAAATTAAGGTGAATCGTTTAGGATAAGAAGAGTACAGGAAAGTAGTTGGTATTTACGATTGGGAAAGAAAGGAAGAGAAAGTACCAAAAGTAATAGATAGTATTATATACCGAATATTTGCAGTCACTGAACGAAAATAGCGGAAATCCCGATATACAAATGGAAATTACAACGAGGGCTAAAACACCTGTTAGGGATTCGTTTCGATCAATAGCTAAAACAAACACAAATAGATCAATGTAGGTGAGAGATGGATAAGAGGTGTGACCCATTAATGGGAGGCGAATCCGATACCGGAATGGGTCAAAGCAATAATGATCAACGCTCAGCAATTGGTCCATATCGAATAACTTAAAAAATTCGATCGCTTCCGCAAATCACAGGGCCTGGTCTTTGTTGGACGCATAACGCTAACTCAAAAGGTCAAAACCATAACATTTCATCAGAATTACGAGGAGTGCTGAATCGCGTCGACGATGGCCGAATAGGGGAAACCACGGGCGCGAGGACGGGGAAGGGCTGGGAGACGAACGAGTCGGTGGGAGAGCGGCAAGACGGAGACAGTTGGTGATTGATGAGAGATCACATCGAGTAACGAGGAACCGAACAGAAAATGGCGAGAGAGCGTCCATCGCTGTGTTCGACAGAGGAGAGCTGCACCGCTGCAAAGTGAAGGCACCGCCTCCTAGGTGTGCCAACACGGGCCACCCGCAAAGGTCACTTCGCCGGACGACAGGGCCACACGGGGTCGGTGCCAATCGTAAAACTCGGTATCACACCTCGGTGATGGGATATCTTCCGGTCTTGTGGCTGCAGTCATTTGAACATGCGATTTTCTCACTTCACTTCCTTTAGAAAACTAATTTAGCGTGTTTTCGAAGGATGAGCCTGACGGGATGTTGTTTTCGAGACGAAACGAATTCCGAAATTCACGACAAACACAACACAGCATCGTAAGGAAGCTCCAACGAGCTGCTTTGCAATGTGTGGAAGCGTCGCACGCGATGTCGCATCTAAGACTTGATGCGATGTGCACTTTTGCGATGAGCTTTGCTACGACGCAGTTTTTAAGCTCATTTACTAAGAGGTACAGCCTGGCGCGGCTTGAGTTTTAATGAGTTGAGTGGAAAGTAACAGCGAGGGTGGTTTGAGAACAGGACCTAGAGAAATATGTAAGACAAACTGAAATTGTTATGACCATCCGTAAAAGGGGCACAACATTATGAATAATTTTGGAATGGTTGTATTACCCTTGAATTAACAGATGACCGGGTAGGAACTGGGTAAAACGTCGACCCAGAGTCAACATACATTACCAATGACGTTCTATCTGGAATACGCAGGTGCATGAACACGTGGGTGTCGCGTTCCACTTCATCCGAACTGACCAAACATTTTACTACATTCAATTAATGAGGCATCAAGGGTCAAGGGAATGCCAAGGATATTGGCAAACTGCACAAATACTCAGGTAGATGTCTGAGCACCCCGCAGATGGTCACAACGAGCGCTTGCGATTTGAACCATGCTCTTGAAGAGAAAAACCCAGCCACAGCTGCTGCCTATTATTACATTAAGCCCCTCAGTAGTATTTCGGCTGCGAAGTACTGCAACAGCTCTTGAGCCGACGAACTTGAAGAAGAAATCGTATCATATTACAGCTGGCCACAATGTCATGGACACCGGGGAAGGAA